ACATATATGTATGAGATGGAGTCTTGCTCTGTCGCCCAGCCTGGAGTCCACTGGCTCGATCTTGGCTCACTGCAACCTCCGCCTCCCGGGTTCAAGCACTTCTCTGCCTCAGACTCCTAAGTAGTTGGGCTTACAGGCGCACACCACCACGCCTGGCTAATTATTTTTTTTTTTTTGTATTTTTAGTAGAGACGGGGTTTCACCATCTTGGCCAGGCCGGTCTTGAACTCCTGACCTCATGATCCACCCACCTCGGCCTCCCAAAGTGCTCGGATTACAGGCATGAGCCACTGCACCCAGCCTCCTCCTATATTCTTGATCTTGATAACCCTTCTTACCATTTAATCAGCCATTCTACTCAGAAACCAGGGAATCATTCTAGACTCTTTCCCCTCTTCTTATGTCCACATTCAATTTGTCCTGCCATTTCTCCTTTTTAAAACTAAACTGTTCTTCCCAATGGCCCCCAGTCTTCCTTCCACTGTATTCTCTATACCACCCCCCACACAAATCTGACCATTTCACAAATTTCACATATTCTTTTTAAACAAATCTTTTAAATACAAGACTAGTTTTGATTAAAAAAAAAATTCTAAAATATACTTCCCTGCCTTTAATATACTTTTAAAAGAACATGAGACTAAACGTAATATTTTCGTGAAATCAATTACAGCAAAATCAACTTGATTTTTACTAAGCTGTGGAGAAACACTGCAGATAGCCCCAAATCAAAACTAATGCAAGGGTCAACTAGCCAGGAGAGGGTGAATTAATTTTTGGTTTTGTTTTTAAATAATCTATTTTAGAGCAATGTTAGATTTATAGAACACTGCAAAGCTAGTACAGAGTTTCCATATACTCCTCATCCTTGTTATTAACATTTTACATAGTATGGTACATTTGTTACAATAAGCCAATGATGAAGCACTGTTATTAACCAAAGCCCACACTTGAGATTTCCTTAGTTTTATTCAATGTTCTTTCTCTGCTCCAGAATACCACATTACATTTAGTTGTCTTTTCTCCTTAGCTCCCTTAGGTTGTGACAGTTTCCCAGACTTTCCTTGTTTTTGATGAATCTGACAGTTTTGAAGAGTACTAATGGGATATCTGTAGAATATTCCCAAGTTGGAATTCATCTGATGCTTTTCTCATGATTACACTGTGCTATTGGTTCTTAGTAAGAAGGCCACAGAGATAAAGTGCCATTTAATCACATCACACCAAGGATACATACTATCAGCATGCCATGTGACTCCAGAAGTTAACCTTGATCACCTGGCTGAAGTAGTGTCCGTCATGTTTTTCCAATGTAAACATTTCCATATCTCTAAACTATGCTCTTAGGAAGGAAGTGACTACATACAGCCCACATTTAAGGAGCAGGAAGTTATACTTCACCTCCTTGAGGGTGAAGTAGCTACATAAGTTATTTGAACCAAGACCTATAGCCCGCTCATCTTAATCAAAAATTGCCAACCCCCTCAAAAAAAAAAATAATAATACAGGGCCATCTTTGGGCCCAGCCCAAAGAAAAGAGGTCATCTTTGGGCCCAGCCTGCAAGATATGCAAGGGAAAGTTAAGCAAAACAGCTTCTGGTCCCCTCACTCTCATGTCAACAGCAGTAGTTCAGAGCAGCCTGTCCCCTCTCTTTCCATGGGACAGGCAATCTTAGGAAGACATACTATAATCACAAGGACAGTTGCAGGCTGTTTCCTGCAGCACTTCAGTTAACTAAGAGGAGACTGTTAAGCTGCAAGAGCTGAGGTCTGTAGAGTTACTGGGATAAAGGTGTTACCAGCTTGAGAATTCAGTAATTTTGTTAAGCCAATAGACTGTCTCACCTGTGAAGTATAGTATATGAGATTTGGAGATATTTTTCCTAATGCTCAATTTGGTTGTTTTCCAAGAGGTTAAGGACATGGATGTTTTAAAGATAAGATCTTACTACCAGTTAAGCAGGCATTTGTGAATAGTGCCAAAGAAGCATTAAGTTCCGGAACAACTAATAGCAGTGCCTAGCATAATCCCTGGCACATGATAGTACTCAAACGTTTGCTGAATGATGAACAAATGAGTTCTAAGAAGTAGAGGGGACAAGCAGCTGTCTACACTGGTATGTAGTATTCAAGTGGCACTGGGTCAATTTTTATGGCCTGCCATGCTTTGCAATCTTTCTTCAGAGGCAGGCAACATTTTCCCAAACCCTACTAGCTAAACTGTGGAGGACTTATATATTAGCATTACTTAACGCAAAACAACATTAGAATAGTACTGTAGTACATATTAGGTGTTCAATAAATGTTTGCTAAATTAATGAACAACCTCTCAAATAGGTAAAGTAGATTAGTCCAGAATTCAAAAAGGAATTTATTAAGAAAACTGATCAACTGCCAGTAGTTCTTCTGGGCATGCTAAAAGCAGGTTACTATACAACTGAGCACGTTTTGATCAAAAAGGTATACTTAGTATACCTAGTATAGGGAACTCAAAGTTTTGTTGAATGGAAGAAATGAATAAACAAATAATAAAATAATCAATCATCTTTCTGAATATACTGAGGCAAAGATATTAGCAATATATATTTGGTGCATGGTTGAGTTCCCAAGAGGAATAATTTCCTAACTCATTTCATTACTACAAATCAGAGGAGCAGTGTGGCATAGTGGTGAAGAGCTCTCAGTCTGAAACCAAATTATCTGAGTTCAAATTCTGGCTCTAGCCACAATGGCTAGTGACTTCAGCAGATGACTTAACTTCTGTGCCTCAGTTCCCTCATCTGTAAAATGTGAGAAGAATCACAAATCCTATTTTATAGGGCCATTACAAAAATTAAACGAGTTAATATTTATAAAGGGCTTAGAAAGAGAATCTGGCACGTAACACATTATATAAGTGTTTGCTTAAAAAATAAGTACTTTCACTGCCACAAAATCATTACCAAAATGGGGTACTTGAGAAAACTGAAAATTAACCTACTTTATACTCTGAGACAAGTCATCTTCTCATAATATGAGCAAAATTATTTCATTATCTAGGAAAGTTGTTTAAAATTGCCCAGTATCTAAAGTAGTAGTCCTTATGTCACTGTTTTAAAATAGACATTCAAAATAATTAAACTGCTATGATATTAAATGCTAAAGACAAAAAGAATGTGAAGGACAAACTTCTGTAGGTGTGTAAGCTCAGAAAACTCATAATAGTTCTTATTGTTTCTTAAGAGGACATATTTGTATTACAAACAAGGTATAGTTGGTTTCTCTTGTGCATTTTTATGTGAGATCTTAAACTATATCTCCACAGATTTACTAGATTTCATGTTTTAATATTTTTTCTCTTTGATTAAAAAATTTTCAATATCAAAATCTATTGTGACTATGCTATTAAAATTCAAAACAAAAGTATTTTTACCTCTGAGTCACATACTACGTAACAGAGTTATAGACAGGTTAATGACTATCTCAATCTGTGTAAAGTATGCAATGATCATACCTAAAAGTTACTTCAGAAAATCAGAGAAACATGACAATGTAGAAGGGACAGAAAAAACACTACACATTTGAATATAAAGTAGAATTCATAATAAAATGCATTTGAATACTCAAAAGCATACTGGACCCTGTTTTTACCAAAGCATTATTACAAAAAATTAATTGAAATTGACAGTGAATTGTTTTAAGTAGCACTTCCAAGATATCATTTACATACTATTTTCTTCTCCCTTAATGGTGTCTCTCCACCACCAATATACAGGTCCTACCTACCATTTCTATACATTTTCCATTCAAATACTATTCAATAAATTTTAAAAGCATGTATATGGCAACAACTAGCTCTAAAGATAACCCTACAAAATCCTTTCAGGCCATTAGCTATGTAATATATAACCATCCATAACTTTTTATCAATCAAAAAATCAGGTTATAAAATATATTTTGGCAGCAGAGGGACTTCACTTGTTCCATAACTGTCTAAAGATTGTCTTGCTACTAGCCAGGGTAATTTTTTTCCTCTTTCCTTTTTTCTCTGCAGTGCTTCTAAGTATAGTGACAGTGCATCAGGCTTTCCTAGTCTCAGCGCAAGCTCAGTGAAAATCTGGGAAATGTAAGTGGAAACATGAGAGACCGCTTTATTTGGCAGTGCTTACCCCCCAAAAAAAAAAAAGTGGGGGGCAGGACAAATGGCAAAGCAGTGTTTGGACCGCAGGATGAACAATCAATAGGCAGAAAGCAAGATTGAGGCTTCCTCAGCTTTTGGATCGACAATCGACAGCTGAGAGGCTATTTTTTGCTATGGTTGACTAAATATGGTCAGGGAAGAGAGAGGCACAAGAGAGCCTGTTTGCCTGGGAGTGCATGTTTCAAATGCTTAGCTGCCTATAAAGCTGTAGCAGTTTAGCCTGTGGTCACTGAGGAAGAATATAAGTTAGCCTCGTAGTGACCATGTGGAAGTCCTGACCTCGCTTGCAGACTTGACCTCTGGATGTGACAAGGTAGCTTCACTACAGATCTACTATTTAATCCTGGAAACTAAAAACCAAAAAAAAAAAAAAAAAAAAAAAAAAAAATCTAAAAGCAAGACAGATGCAGACTATTTCCTAAGAAGTCAGAAGAACCCAATGTATTCTGGAGGGCAAAGAAAAACAGGGTGAATGTTTACAGTTATTTGGGGGGAATAAGGTGTGTTTTGGGTTCTGGGGTTTTTTTGGGTTTTTTTTTGTCTTTTTTAGACTATAAAATTAACTTCTGCCAACTTTTTCCCCTCTTCTGAAGCATTTCATCTGACAAGCTAGGTTCATTTTCTTGGCCTTTGTAGCAACCTTTTTGATTGCTTAACTTTCCATACATAACTGTGCAAGAGTGTTATATGACATTCCAAATCAGATGGCCAACAATAATTCAATTTTATTGTAGAGTTTTTTTGTGGGTGGGTTTTTTGTTTTTTTTTCTTGTTTTTGTTTTTTTGGTAAAGGGAAGAGGGGAGGAGAGGGAAAAGTAAGCTTGTTTTTTGTTTGCTCGTTTGTTTTTCAAATTTATCTTAAAAGGTGAGGTTCTGTGTTCACTGATACATCCCCTTCCTTCACCGGGCTCATGAAAAGAAATGCTGAATCAGCGAATAGAGTGAACGAACAATCAAGATGAGATGGCTGCTGCTGATGTGATTCTCTAGGTCATTACCTTTCTTCCTGCTGCAAATGCTGCATGACACTAAGCTTACAGGTAACACAGCACCACAGGCCTGTACTTTTAAGGATGCTTATGACTTTCTGCATGCTTAACTATTATTGACTCGATATATGTTCTCATTGTTAAATTAAATTCTATCTAACCATAGCCTAATTTCACAATTCGAGAGCTAACGTAGTGTAAAAAGGAATATTGTTCAAATACCATGGCAGTAACTTTTGATCTTAAAAATGTACAAATACATTACTGTCATTTACATTATTAAAGATTTAGTCGTTATTGTTTCAGATTAAGTGATGATTTTGCATCTCTAATAAGTCATATCCTGCTTCCAAAGTATACTTATTTTCTAAAACTATTAGCTTCTATTTCAACGTTTAGTCAACCAAAAAACTTGGCAGATCATAAAATACTTTTGAATGCTTACTATTAATTGGCCACAAAAATAAATCAGAACGTGCATGGTGTAATTCTAATGCTGCATTGCTGAAACTGCTGTAGTGCTGGGCTATCTACTGCCACATTCTGATTTGCTCTCTATAAGCTGCACTAGCTTTTTGTCACAAGCTGCAGAAATTCTACTATCCCTGCCCTTTTTTTTCTCCTTTGCCAAATCTGAAAATTTCTTCAGGTTTTAAATTAACCTTCTAATACCATAATAACTGAAGGCTACTTACCAACTATAATTTCTTTCCATGCTAAATCATCAAGGTAAATAAAACCCAGGTGCTCATAGACTAAAACCTTTCAGTTCTTTGAAGTGATACTTTGTAGAAGTTGATGATTCTGACAGTTATCCTTTATACTAAAAAGATTAAAGAATCAAAAAAACTTAAACTCACCAAAATTAGATATTTCTACAACTATTTGAATTTGTATTCAACGCATAATTGTATTTAACCCAAAGAGAAGCACCAAAGTGCAAAATTCAGGTAAGGAACTAATAAAGAAAAAAGAATGACAAATTTTCAAATGATCATGAGTCCTTATCTGTGACCTTATAAAACACTAACAAAAATTTATAATCTTTAAAAGTTCAATTCATCCACACTCATCCTGGTTTTTCTCCTTGTTGTTTCACCTTCTAGAGTCAATATCAGAAAGAGTTACTGGTTAATTTGTTAGGTTTTGAGTAAGATATCTAGTTTGTGTTTAAAAAAAAAAAAATTCAATTTAATTAATTACTATCTACCTGTAGGATCTAGAAGCAGACTACAAAAAAAGAAGAAATTCACCCTGAAGACTGAAGAAACATTAGGCTGATTTTAAGTTTCTGAAATATACTCTGTAACACTACACTGATTCTATGAATCTCTTGCAAAAAGAATCAAACCAGGACAAAGTTCAACAGATAACTGGTCAAATGTTTAGGAATGTCTATGTCCACCAAGAACATGGAACCGTTAATGCCATGCTTCAGGTAAACTTGTTACAAAATTTAGTCTTCGATAAATTAGTCTCTGCAAATGATTTACCATTGCTCTACATCAGTAAGCTGAATGTTTCACTAACAAATAAGAAAATAAAATATTTCATGTTTTTACAGCTAACAACTTAGTAATACCTACTCAGAGTACATACTTCTTTATGTACCCATATGAACATACAATGCTATGGAATGTAAAGAAGTATGTATTTTTGGTAGGCAATAGACCACCAAAAGAGAATTAAACTGAGCTAAAAGAAGCTCTTGCTTCTTTCTATGTGAATGACCTTCATATGGTAAATTAACCTACTCATGAATAGATGACCTTTGGCAATACTAACACCAAAAAAAAAAAAAAGGTTATCTACTACTTATAGATAGAAACTATCCCTAAGGTTTTTATTTCATGAAGGAAAAGAAGATCCACTGAAATAGATTTCAATTATCATGAAACTCCTTTTAAATCATCTAAGTTTAAAACATACATCTTACATTTTTAAATTAAGTACTCTCATTATTAAAATTTGACTGCAAAAGGGAAAATAGTATTACTAGCACAAAAGAATGAGGAATACACATGACCTATTTTCTGTCTCCACAATTCAATCTTAACTTAAGTATATCTCATTAGTAGGGCTCACTGATTTGTATAGAAAAATAAGATACTAAGAGCTGGTTTCATTCACATGATAAGCTATTTCTTCTCATTTTAATAAATGTATAATTTATTAATATTAGAGGAATTTCTGACCAAAAGTTTTGTTGTTTTAAAAAGGCTTTCTTTTCTGACAGCTACAAATATAGTGGCCCTTGTCCTTCCTCCTCAAGTTTATCAGGGTCTTAATCCAATCTCTACTTCAAATGTGAAGTTAAAACTTAAAATTAATTAAAATGTAAGATTTAAGCATGAAAAATGACAAAATTCTGACCCACAGCTGTAAGTCAGCAGGGTATATTGGTAATAGACTACCAAATATTTAAAATAAATTAATTTACTATCTGTATTATCTTTGAATTTGCTTTCTCCAAAGAGGGCATGTAAAATGAAAGCACTATAGTCAAGAACCAATTTATACAGATCGAATAACTGTTTTTATTGGTACTATGCAATTACAATCCAACTTCTCTAAACATGATCAATCCATTGTTTAGAAATATTGAAATACTTTTATTTCATGCAGTTTGTAGATTTGTTTTAAAATTCCAAATGCTCTTAGCAAAATTTATAAGCAGTATCTGTTTTACGCTACTAATGACAAAGTCAGAAAAAAAGAAAGAGTAGTATTCACATATTATAACCATTTCTTACCAAAAGTATTATTTCAACTGAAATATTTATACATGTATAAAAAGCATATTTTAAATTTTTTGTATCAGAAATTAAATGGAAATGACTAACTTTAACTACAGTTCATTTTCTCTGTTTAATAAGACAACTAGTTAATACAAAGATGATTTTCACTTTATCAGCAGATTACAATGAAAATGACTGTTACACATGGCCTCATATATGTTACTGCATGTTTATTAGAAATTATAAAAGGCACATAATTTTAAAATTCTGTATTTTCAAAGAAATTAGTTCAAAGCTTAGCCCTTTTGATCATCCACAAAACAGAATGGCAATGATTCATGTCTATTTGGTAAGTTTACCTGTACAGGTCCTAAATACCTAGAACTCAAAGTAGAGGCTCTTCTATAAAAATACTCAAAGAGTATTACTCATGTTTTATAATAAACAATTATATTAGTCATTCTACAGGTATACAAGTTGTTTAATAATCCTCAAACATCCCAGCAACTAAGAATCTCTTTGCTATAATATTAAAACTATATAAATAATCCTTAGAAAATAAAATGACAGGTTTTTCATTTTTAAAAGTAAAATTATATACTGATTCTGGTGCTTCCAAGTTTAACTTATCTAAGAGTATTTTCAATCACTCTAAAATGTCACATCTATCACTTAGATCAGCTGTTCATTTTTAACTGAGTACATATTAAACTCTGGGCATCTGCTGACACTGGTATAACTCAAACATTTCAACTGTCTCCCTGACAGGGATAACAGATGCTGACATTATCAAATGCTGTACTATTTTTTTCCCATGGCCTCTCCTTGCCCCGATATGGCCAGTATATGAAACTGAACTGCCATCCAAAAGCACACTTGAGCAACTGGATCTGCTAAACAGCTCCCATATAACTAGTAAAAATAGAAGCCAGTGTTATTGCTATCTTCAGCACTGAAGTTCAGGCAGTTTAACACCTGTTTCACTTCTACTAGAATAAATGATGAAAAAGAATTATAGTTACATTAATTTCACCAGCAGTATGATACTTACCAACCAACAGACGCAGAATATACTTAGTACAAGAATCATTTGCATATTGCCAGAATTAGTGCTGACCTCCCAGTTTAGTTTAAAACAGTAACTGTAAAGAATATTTCTCCACTCCATATTTCTCTGAGAGCACTTAACTTTATAGGCAAATTATAATTTATCAAACTTTTATGCAAGAAGACACCCTGCCCAGGATATTGAAATCAACAGTAAAACCACATTATAACAAAATTTTACTCTGATTTTTCAAGTATTATTCACACGACAGATTTTAATACTTGTATTCACGGATTGTAACTAACCACCATGTATTACTAAGTCGATAATGAGAAGTAACCAGGCAATCTGTACCCAAAATGACAATGAACTTAGTCAAGGAAACAGACCTTTAAGAGGGTTAAATTACTAACCTATGATTAGTAACACTACGTACGCAAAAACAAAGAAAAACTGGCATGTGCGGTAGTTCCTTTCGACACAAGTCCAAGCAATACACTGAATACACATGTGATCTATTTATAACTCAAAGGGCAGAGGTACTTTCTTAAGGCCATTGATATTCCTACACCCATCAACAATTTGAATTAGCTCTCAACTATAATGCTAAAAGAAGCAGTGGCAGTAAAAGGGGGTGACTAACAGAACTCTTCCCCAACCTTTTAGCTTACCTACTTAAGTAATCTGGTTTACTGCCTAAAGATAAATGGAAAACATTACTCTAAAATACATCAAGGTCTATTTGTTCCTTTAAATACTATTGGTTTTGAAACAGCTTATTGTCTACATGTAAGAATTAAGCAAAGACTTCGGCTGTGGACAAGATTAGAAAAAGAAGCAAAGATGTTGAAAACAAAGATGTACATTGATCATTCCTTAATGCAGTAATGTGTTAAAAGGAAAAGACTTTTAAACCATTAAGCGCAGGAAAACAGTAGGAAAGTGACTTCAAAATGGAAAATTTGACATTCGGTGACTGAAGCATTGGTATGATAATTTCTAACACTTGTAGAAGGTCTATGATTGTAATTTTACCAACTGTTTTGGATTCCATACTAGCAGTACTACAATGCTTTGCTAGAGCTGGTAAAATGGAACCAAATCGCCTCTTCAATGGATTTGGTCCCCTTCAACCAGCTGTAGCTATGCATTGATTACCACGGGACTACGTTTTCATTTGTGAATATCAATTACTTGTCAACTAATTTCAACTTATTTACATTATTCAGACTGTGATTATAATCAAATAACTTGTTACTGTTAACTCTACCTGGAAAAGCTAGAATGGTTAAAGATGTTTATAAAAAGCTTATGAAAAATGTATGGATGACTTAAGGATTTCAAATAAAAATTTTACTTACTATCGTCTCTTGGTATTAAATTTCTTATCCTACAGAAAAGAAAAAAACTGGCAATAAAATGTAGGCTATGCTTTATAATAACAATCAAAAAAAGAACTTCCTTCAAAGGAAGAAAGTATCTGGAAAGGTCACCTATAACCCACCTGAAAACACAATGGGATTGTACAGTGTGGTTTACATGGATGTATGCATATTTAAATTAAAGAAACATTATATAACACTCTAGAAATGTTCAGTCACTATCTTCCACAGTATTGGCCTTTAATTTTACCGCTATTTACCTGAATGTTAGCAGGTAAGGTGAAAAAGATGATACTGGAGGATATCTTGAGGAGAGGCTTAAAACAGTATCTAGTTCTTCTGACCCTGAATCAAAGTTTTTTAGTCCTCAAAAAAGAAAGAAAATGCTAAGCATCACTACTTTACTCATGAAATATTTCACCTCTTCATATTTGTTTTCACGGCTGTAAAATGAAGAACTCTGCTAGTAATAAATACTATGACTCTCCTCACTGTCTTCTTTGTCCCTTATAAAAAATATGCACACAATATTCTCCTTCAGTGGGGATAAACTGAAGGAAAGAAAAAAATGACAATTATTCAAACATCCATATAGTTTTCTTAATGATTGTAATAAGACTATAGATAATTTAATATTATTTAACAGAGACAAACATTTCAGCAATTAATGAAGATTACTGAAGACAAGAATAGTTTAAAAACCCAGATGTTCACACATTCTCAACTCCAGACCACTCCTCCATTTCAAAATGAATATCATTCTCTAAAAGACTGTGGGCAAAAGGAGACATATATAAATATATATCTTATCACTTCATTCAAGATCCTCTTCCTCCTATTAATTACATCTCAGTCACAGTAAGTACATTTGTGTATTACAAGGCATACGGTGTTTGACAGTAGATGCATGAGCATACATTAGAGAAAACACACTCTAAGTATCCTATTACTGAATAGACTCAGCTATATTTTGTAGATAGCACTCAGCATGTTCACAGTTGTAAGGAAAGCATTAAACACCAAAATACAGTACAGCATATCAAATCTTCAAATAGTCAACAGAGTCTTGTTTACAGACCATATTTCAGAATTTAAAAAGTAAAAAAAGCATCACAACATTCTAGAGGGAAAACTATGAGTTGCTCATATATTCAGTAAGATTTTTTGTGGGAATTAGTAAGTAAATAAGAAATGCCTGTGAAATTATCTTAGTACCAACCTAAAAACAACATATATCACATCAGGTGATTCACTCATATTTTACTTTTCTTTTCACATTCAATTTCTATTCAAGAAAAATTTGTAAATACTATATAAACTTTATATTAATGTTATCTGTACTTCCAAAATACCTGATTGCTTTTGCCAGCTCTGCAGAGAATACTGCTGACTAATTTATTTTCATGCCTGTGAGGGAGCTCTAAAAACTTAGCTAAAAATTCAGCATCTTTACAGAAAGTACCTAAGTAGCATGCTGATTATGCTACTCCAAAGAAATTCAGTTTTCACTTTTATCAGCAGAAATAATTTCTGCTCTTACTTTAAATCAGAAACTTTAGGCCGGGCACGGTGGCTCAAGCCTGTAATCCCAGCACTTTGGGAGGCCGAGACGGGCGGATCACGAGGTCAGGAGATCGAGACCATCCTGGTTAACACAGTGAAACCCCGTCTCTACTAAAAAATACAAAAAACTAGCCAGGCGAGGTGGCGGGCGCCTGTAGTCCCAGCTACTCGGGAGGCTGAGGCAGGAGAATGGCGTCAACCTGGGAGGCGGAGCTTGCAGTGAGCTGAGATCTGGCCACTGCACTCCAGCCTGGGCGACAGAGCTAGACTCCGTCTCAAAAAAAAAAAAAAAAAGAAAGAAACTTTACCTGTATACTAAGAGATGATAAAAATGGCTAAACTCTAGATGAAAACATGCCTATAAATATTAACTATCAGAATAGACGAACAGCATTGTTCTTAGTTAAGATTTCTTAAAAAAACAAAACTACTATATTAAAACATGGTGTAATTTCTACTTAAAATGCTCCAAACTTTATAAAGCACAGCCAAAGTACTCAGGGTCTTATAGCGAAAATTTATATTCTCTTTCACAATTCTAAAAGACAACAATAAATGGCTTTATAACTCTTTTTCTCTTAATGTGTTTATTTCAGTTACTATCAAACTATGAGGAAACAAGATCAGCTTTGAAATCTACACTCTATATTGATCTGCACCTTTGAAATACAGACTTCAAAGGACAGTCTTCAAAAATACAGGGCATCTAGACACTTCATCAGGTTCTGGAAATAACAATGTGCTTTATCTCGTTTTCTTTCTTTCTTTTTTTTTTTTTTTTTTTTTTTTTTTTTAAGAGACAGGATCTTGCTATGTTGCTCAGGCTGTGCTACAGCACAGTGGCACGATCATACCTCACTGCAGTCTCAAACTCCTGGGCTTGAGCGATATTCTCGCCTCAGCCTCCCAAGTAGCTGAGACTAAAAGTCTGTGATGCCACACGCAGCTGATTCTCTTTTTTTTTTGATACAGAGTCTTGCTCTGGAACCCAGACTGGAGTGCAGTGGCGCAATCTCAGCTCACTGCAACCTCTGCCTCCTGGGTTCAAGTGATTCTCACATCTCAGCCTCCCGAGTAGCTGGAACTACAGGTGCACGCCACCACACCCAGCTAATTTTTGTTTTTTTAATAGAGCTAGTGTTTCACAATGTTGGCCAGGCTGGTCTCAAACTCCTAGCCTCAAGTGATCTGCCTCCCAAAGTGCTGGGATTATAGGCATGAGCCACTGCACCCAATCTAATTTTTTAATTTTTTAGAGACAGGGTCTTCCTACATTGCCCAGGTTGATCTCAAGCTCCTGGCTTCAAGCAATCCTCCTGCCTCAGCCTCCTAAGTCGCTGGGATTACAGACGTAAATCACCACACCCAGTTGGTTTTCTATAGTATGAAGGCCAAAAAGACTGGTTGTTATTTTTAATTCCAAGTACACTAAAAACGGTTCCTTCTGTCTTCTGACATCACTGGTCAGTATAGGAGGAAAAACAACCTTAAGAAAAAGAAATTTGATATGAAAAAAAGAACACAAAACATCTCAATTTGCAATTACAACTGGTAATATAAGTTGTGTCATCTTCTGATACTCTTCAGTGTCCAATTAAAATTACACTCTATCTGGCAATCTATAGTCACAACTACCTAAAGACGTCTTAAGTAGGAATAAAGAAGTCATGTAGCTTTAACTGAAGCACTACTTTGCTGAAGAATAAAAGCATTTTTTGTAAATGTCACCTGACACCAAATATCTGGTTGGAAGAGTTGCTGTTTTAAATTTTCAGGAGAACCCTCAAGATTTATGCAAGAATTGAAAAAAAAAAAAAAAAAGTAAATTTTCTCTTTCTTGTATAGGCTTAGCATTATTGAATATACTATGCCTACTCTCGATAAAAATGAAACCACTCAAAATATTTAAAAGATACTTGTTTCCTAAACACTTCAATTCTCAGTTTATCCTAAACTTCATGATTTCATATTCCCTCAATAAATCCTAAATTCCCTCAATAAAATCTTTTTGACCATTCTAATCTGAAGTAATTGCTGTTTGAATTCCTAACACAGTTTCTCTACAGAATTCATTCTGTAACTGATCATATAATGTCTTGTGATATTCAACAGTGTCCTCACTGTCAAAGTAAGGCTAACATTTACTGAGTGCCTTGTATAGCCAGAGCCTATGTAGGATGAACTGATGAATATGAATGCCCACAATTTTAAAAGAAAGACAGAAATGCACACAGTAATAAACAGCACTAAGCTGAGTACAGTAAGTACAATGAATAAGAACACAGAACAAGGAAGTACAGAGCAAACAAAATAATTCCAATGATGACACAGGAGGTAGCTCTGAAGAAAGATGGTTAAGATAAAGAAGTGGGATGGGGCACCCCAAAGAAAAAGCTCCAAAAAATAGAAGAAGAAAGCAGACAGCGTATTTTAGGAAAGGAGAATAGGTGAAGGGCAAGGCGGGCTAAGGGATTGGATTAACAGGAGATAAAGTTAGACAGACTCAGGACACACAGAATATGGGTCTGAATGCCAAGCCAAAGTAGGTAAATTGTATTCTATGTTAATAGACAAAAACTGAAGTTGGGAAACAGGGGAAGAGAGCCATTTAGACCTATGCTTTCAGAATGGATAATTTGTAAATGTATAAAATTTAAATCAAGAATAAGACTGAAACCAAAGAAAACAATTAGAAGAATAGTATAAATAGTCTAGGTAAATGTGGTGAGTACTTAATTGGTTCAGCAACAGTGGGGACAGAATGGAATGGATGGGAAGGATTGGTAGAATGAATAAAATTTTAAAACTAGTTGGAAGTTGATAACTGGTGAGAGAGCAAAGATAACTCTAAGCAATGAGGTAGCAAGAGGAATGAGGTACTGATACATTCACTGCCCATGTGTTTTGGTTTTGCTTCACAAACAGATCATAATACAGAAAAGGTGATGTAAAGTGGTTTAACAGTTATGATTCTAAAGTCACCTAGACCTTGCTCAAGTTACAGCTGCTTCAGTAATCAGCTATGTGTTCTTGAATAATTAAATTCATCTCTATAAGCCTCATATTCTTCACATGTAAAATGAGGATATTAACACCTGCCTCAAAAAGCTGTTGAAAGGATTAAGTGAGATGATGCATGTGAAGCACTTTGCAGAGGCTGGCATGTGGTAAGTGCTATCATAATCTTCTGTTTGAAGGGCAGGGAAAATATACTACTACTGTCACCTTCACAATGCCAAAATCTGAAGTGTTCAAATGTTTGCAATTTGGAAAAAAAGTCAAGATGTGATCTAAAATATGATCATTCATTTCATCCTACAATATATACCCACTGTTACAGTTACCAATAAGCAGTAGCAATAAAATCTTTTTGTTTTCTGTGGTCACCCTCTAGTGGTGATCCTAAGAAGCTTAAAAATCACT